CACCAAGTCTATCATTATACAATCAAACTAATTAAGCTGTCTATATGAATTTTGTGATAATTACATTAATGATATAATAAACTACACTAATTATAAAAAAAAAAAATTAAACAACACTGCTGCGGCTGCGGAACCCTCCGCGCCGCAGCAGTGTATATATATATTACTGCTGCGACAAGTATTACTGTGGCGGCGAGCCGCCACCGCAGTATATATGTATATATATATATATATATATATATATATATATATATATATATATATATATATATATATATATATATAATTAAATATTTAATTGGTAAAAAATAAAATTCTGAAAATTTACCTTTGTTTGATGCTTTAATTTGATGTGGCAGAAAGAATTGCTTGACTTTGATGTTGATGATGCTTTAATTTGATGTGGCAGAAAAAATTGCTTGACTTTGATGTTGACGATGAAGGAATCGGGGAAGGGTATAATGATACCTAGGGAGAGAACGACGAGAAAGATAAGGTTAAAATTGAAAAAAAAAAAATTCTATTCCTGAGGACTCAGGAATAAGTTAATACCAGGGGGGCCCTGGTAATAGCTATTACCTCATCTGAGGTAATAGGCTATTACTAGGAACATTATTCCTAGTAATAGGCATTGTTACCAAACAGAAGAATAGGTCTGTTACCGGGAATGCTATGCCATTCCCAGCCTATTCCGTGAACCAAACGGGCCATCATGGCGGAGGCTTTGGCATTTAAAGAGGCGCTATCCTGGCTAGTTGAGAGGAATATCTACTCGGCGTATCTCCTCACTGATTGTATGGTCCTGCAGACGACCATACGCCAGCGGACTACACCTATTCACTCGTATGTTGGGTCGGTAATTGACCAGTGCAGAACGATGGTGCCTTTATTTAATTTTGTTTCGTTAAGCTATGTGCCTAGACAGATTATTTTACATGCTCATACTTTAGCTTCGTTAGCTTTTACTCAGGAACATTCTATGTATTGGGAGTCTATCACACCTGATGCTATTACAGCTTTCATCAATTAATACAATCGACAGATTGGTTTTTCAAAAAAAAAAAAATTCATCAATTGACTATATTCACTACATTGTCTATTATCTTTTTTGTGCACTATTTTTTTAATTAGATATCAAAGTTATATACAAAATAATGCTATATATTTATTTACCAAGTATTTTATTAATACGATGAAAAAATAAAAAAAAAATATAATTAATAAAGCCAATCATATTAACTACTTTAGAGATTTGTTGACAAAGAGGGTATTCAAATCACACAACAAATTGAAGTGAAAACTATCTCGCAATGTCCTTGTTTGACAATCAGCAGTTAGCGGTTAGCGTTAACGAATTATATTAGCGGATTTGACCAGCGAATTATATCAACGGTTGGTAAAAAGATATTTGAAAGAATTAACTGTTTAGATTAACATGTAAAATGACATAAGGGTATACATAATAATAATAATAATAATAATAATAATAATAATAATAATAATTATTATTATTATTATTATTATTATTATTTTAAAAAAATAAAAAAATATAATTAAGTCATTCATATTAACTGCTTAGGGATTTATTGACAAAAAGAGTATTCAAATCACTCAAATAAATTGAAGTGGAAAACTACCTCGCAATGTTTTTGTTTGGTAATCAGCAGTCAGCTCTTCAATATTAGTATATATTTAATATTTTATGTCCTAATTTTTATTTGCTCTCCCTTATGTCCCGTATTTGGTTTCAACTATACCTATACAATTATTTTATTGACAATTATAATCAATCTTGACTATATTATCTTGCATTTATAAACTTAGAATTACCTATTTAAATACGTAAATTCAACATTCAATTATCTATGCATGAAAAATTCTAATTTAATTTTGCCTTGATATACTTTAAAGTACTTATTTAAAAAAAAAAATATTGGGCATTATCCCAATCGCGCAATGCGCGTAAAAAACTAGTATATATATATATATATATATATATATATATATATATATATATATATATATATATATATATATATATATATATATATATATATATGAGACATATCAGGCGAGAACAAACTGGCTAGGAGAGAATTGAAAACCAATCGCAACTGTTCACGTGTGAGTGATCCTTATTTCTCTCCTGGGCGCCCGTTCTCACATGAGCGCACTAATATATATATATATATATATATATATATATATATATATATATATATATATATATATATATATATATATATATATATATATATATATATATATATATATATATATATATATATATATCTACTATACTAATAAGAGCCCAAGAGAGTTAGGCCTATAATGGGTAGAAAAAATGGCGGTCACAGATTTTAATCAAATGTATGGCTCAGATTGATTAAAAGATTGATTAGATTTAAATTTTACACTAAAATTTCCTAAAATACCCACACACCGTTACTAATTCCGTTAAAATTTTAAGAATTGCCGTTAGTTCACCGTTAACTTACTCATTGATTTCAATAAAAAAATGTCTTAGGTTCAAACCTCATCCTATCAAAGTTGGCATAATTAGTACTCTATTTTATTCTTATTAAATTATATAAATAATAATTTAGTAGTTACAACGAAAAATAATACATATGCATTTCTTTAATTTAGAATTATGTGTCCACAATGTCTTTATTCAAAAAAAAAATTATTCATTATCAATAAATCAAATAAGAGAAATAATTTTATTAGTTATATTGTCTTTATTTTTCTTCAATATAAAAATTCTTTATATTCAAATTTATTAATTGATTATATTCGCTACATTATCCTTACAATGTCTTTATTCAGTGAAAAAAAATTATTAATTATCAATAAATTAATTAAAAGAAATATTTTCATTAGTTATATTGTCTTTATTTTTCTCAAATGTAAAAATTTTTACATTCAAATTCATCAATTGATTATATTCACTACATTATCTATTATCTTTTTTGTGCACTATTTTTCTAATTAAATATCAAAGTTATAATACAAAATAATGCTATATATTTATTTACCAAGTATTTTATTAATACCATGAAAAATTAAAAAAATATAATTAATAAAGCCAACCATATTAACTACTTGAGAGATTTTGTGACAAAGAGAGTATTCAAATCACACAACAAATTGAAGTGACTACCTCGCAATGTCCTTGTTTGACAATCAGCAGTTAGCGGTTAGCGTTAGCGGATTATACTAGCGGATTTGACCAGCGAATTTATTTAATTATTAACATTGGGTAGAAAAAATGACTGCCAAATTATTAAATCAAATGAATGATTCATATTGTTCAGGTTTTAATTTTTTTCTTTTAAGATTTTATAATTTATCCTTAATTATATGATTATCCATTTAACTTTTCCGTTAATTCACCGTTAGTCTAATTCTAATATTAAAGTCTAATATAGAATTATAACTACACCATTAATCTAATTCTAATATTAAAGTCTTAATAGAACTTAACCACAAATCCTAATGTCGGAATCTCCTCAAACAATATTAGTATATATTTAATATTTTATGCCCTAATTTTTATTTGTTTTCCCTTATGTCCCGTATTTGGTTTCAACCATACCTATACAATTATTTTATTGACAATTATAATCAATCTTTACTATATTATCTTGCATTTGTAAACTTAGAATTACCTATTTAACCCGTACGGGCTTAGCTCAATGGTTTAGTGGGTAGTATTTGGGAGAAGAGACCAATGTTTGAACCTCGGCAGCGGCAGTGCGGGGAATTATGTCCAAAGTGGGCAGATTCCTTGTGCGTATCAGCATTTGGCCCTGTCTGCTGAACCATTGAGTCACCGTGATTTACAACTTCCCACAATGCTTTGTCGGGTCGGAGTGTGGGGGGCCCTTGGAGTTGGGGACTCAACCTTTGGGAGAAGAATTACCTATTTAAATACGCAAATTCAACCTTCAATTATCTATGCATGAACAATTTCAATATAATCCTGCCTTAATATACTTTAAAGTACTTATTTAAAAAAAAAAAAGCATTGGGCATTATCTCAATCGCGCAATGCGCGTAAAAAACTAGTATATATATAAAGGCAAATTATTGATTATGGATTTAGTTTTCACTTTTTTTCATATTTATTTTATACGGATCTCAAATTTCAATATATGATTTCCCATTTTTTATTTTTACTATTTACGAAGAGGAGAAAATTCACCATCCATGAATGCACTACTTTTAAATAATAAATAAAAATCAAAAGTAAATTAAAAAAAATTATTAAATAATAATCAAGACTAATCAAAGTTTTTTTTTTCTTTTTACCATATTTTTTTTACAACTATTATAAATTAATTGACTCTGTTACAATATAATATCTGTCAATACATATTTTTTCAACTTATTTAAATTTTAAATCTAAAATAATTTTGTTTTAAAAAAATGAAATAAGGATCAAATAGGCCATCTAACTACATACCAAACTATAATTAGGCTACTGAACTCAAAAAAATAACAATTGAGCCCTTGAACAACACAAATTCTTACAATTTAATCTAAAATGACTTGTTTACGCCAAACACCTTGTGCAGATGACACCTGAGTTAGACACCCATATGGGAGGGTGTGAGTTCGAGCCTCAGTGGAGGTGTTATTGGTTCAAGTAGTTTTGAACAGATACTACATTGTAATATTAAAAAAAAGACTTGTTTACCTTTTAATTGCAAGAATTTGTGTTGTTGAGGGATTCAATTGTTATTTTTTAAATTTAGTGGTCTAATTGTAATTTGATGTATAGTTGGATGGTTTATTTGACCCTTAAAAGTTAAAACCTATCAATTACTTATTATTATTTAAAAGAAAAATCGTTGGAGTAGTGTTCACGTCCCACGTGGGAAGCTGATGACAGCGAAGGTTCTGGTGACCGCTGAGACGCTGAGTTTCAATTGGTCAGAACAACTCATCTGACGATCTAAAACCAAAAACCCGCATTCAAAAAAAAGAAAAAAAACAAAACCAAAAACCCGCGGTATAATAATAATTATTATAGTTATTATTGTTTAATTTTTCTGACAAGAAAATTCAGTTTCATTTCTTCTTCTTCTTGGTTAAGAAAATTTTCTTTCATATATTCGCAGAGCTCCAGAAATTTGACAGATCAACGCATTCGCCATGTCTTCTCCTTCCGAGTATCTCTCTCTCTCTCTATCTCTCTGCACGCACACACACATAGACTGTTTGGTTGTTTTAATTTTGAAATTTTTGCTCAAATGCTAAATACTATTGTATTGTTGTTTATATGGCCTGGGATGCACGCCTACTAGGTTTTAGGAAGTTTTCAATTGTTTTTAAGAAATTGAATTACTTGTTATTTGGAAAATATCTATGAATTTACTCGTTCAGCTAAGTGGAAATCGAAGCTTAGGGTGTAATGAGTAAGAAATATTGCGGGCATTTTAGTCTATGAAAAAGGGGCAATGCAGCCCTAGGATTCAGAGTTTGGAAGGTGAATTGGGATATATGGGTTGGGAACTGGTAAATGCTAAAATTTGAAAGAAAGACGTAACAACTACTAGGAAGTTTTCAATTGTTCGCAGTTGGAATTTGAACTGGTTTTTCAAGGGGTTATGCCTTAAATTTGATTTTGATGTTACTGGATTGCATATGGCAGAGTTGCTTGCTAATTTGATAAACAAAGAGGGTTATAGGTGGTGGTTTATGTATGTTCATACCAATTTCATTGTTTCCTTTGCTATTTCCTTCTTAAATTTCTACAGAACACTTTTCAATCCTTCTTTCGTTTTAGCTATTGCAAGTCATGTACAAAACCTGGTCAGTGGGTCACTGTTATGCGCAAATTTGCCGCATCAATTTATCTGTTCATCATTGCAATCCTCTACTATTTTATCTGCTGCAGATTCTACAATTCACTTCCACCAATAAGCAAGGCTTATGGGACTGCTTGTTTGGCTGTTACGGTTGCATATGCATTGGGGATATGTAATCCTGCAAACATTGCATTGCTTCATGAACTAGTATTTTACCGTTTTCAGGTAAGCATTCTTGGTTCTAAACTGTCAATGAAAAGTGGTTTATCATAGCACTTCTTGGCATCTTAGTAAACAATGATCTTGAAATGTGAAACAGAAGTTACTGACACATTGATGCATGTAGTGATACATTTTCTTTAGTCAATGCTTTGCCCACTGCATTTAATATCCATAACAAAACAGTTGATGCAATATTCTACAACAAATATCTATTGTGAGTTTTTATTATCTCAAGTAATCATTATATTAACATATTTTACTCTTTTTTTCGTTTTTTTTTTTTTTTTTTCTTTCCTGAATGTTATGTTTTGAGTTATCATACAGCTTGGTGTTATAGGCATGTGCTATAAATTTGAGAAATTCCAAATGCTCCATATGTGATTTTGTGATTTATGCATGATGTTTACAAAAGCAATGTAGGAAACTCTTTAATGAATATCTCTGCATTCTAGAAGAGTGAAAAACTGAATATTATTTCTGACTGTTTAGTTGGTCAGCATAGCTTTCCTGTGTAGAAATATTTTGGTTGCCTTTACTCTAGATCTCAGTGCTGAATTAAATTCTTGCAAATAAAATAAGAGTTTTACACATGCATCTGATGTTCTGTCAGCAACTCTTTGATATTCTTATATACATAAGTATATAAATAATATATTATAATAAATATTTTGGTGGCTGTCATGCTTTCAGGTGTGGAGATTGATTACGAACTTCTTTTTCCTTGGAAAATTTTCTATCAATTTTGGGATTCGCCTCTTAATGATGTAAGTACTTCACTTCAGGCTAGCATTGCTATGATGAGAAAAGTTTTACTTATAAAGATAGTAAGAAGAAAAATTCGATCTTAAATATCCATTCATATGCTCCCATGGTTTCTTGGAAAAATATGCCATAGCTTCCACTGTGGAGACACTTTGTTAACAGTAAAATCAAAGTAAACAAGCTGATTCAAAAGCTTATGGGTATGAGTCCTTGAAAGTGAAGCTTTATTTTTCTCCATATTTCTGAGTTTTCCTTAGTCTCTGAATTAGCAAAATAAAGTACATTTATAGTGTGTAACATTCCTTTTTTGGCCCCTTCTGAAATTAAATAATCCACCTTAAACTAAAAGATATTGCAAACAGATGGGATCATCTGTACTTCCACAAGAATTATGAAGGGGAAAAAGTGCAGATTTTATCTTACCCAAGAGATATATGTATAATTATTAAGAAGAAAATAGAATGAAGTGCAAGTAAGATAATACACAAATTCTTATTTCATGCTATACTGAACTAACTATTCATACATCATCAACAAATGGGAGGATAAAAAGAAGAAAGGTTGTTTATGTTTAGCTATTTATTAGATCTGATAATACACAACTATGTAACCAACTATGCTTAGATTATTATTCATAAGAATTAAGAAATATAGTAGAATAAAATTGCTTCATACTTCTTTATAACACTTGTTAAACAGAAGTATATTATTGAAATAAAATGTAACTTGTAAGTAATTGATTGACCCCACTCAAAAGATATTTGTGTGCCATAGATAGCTGTGGATTATTTAGATGGTACAATTCGTGCGCACTAATGCTCTACTTGTTTTCTCTACTTTAGTGCAAGATATGGTGTGCAACTGGAGAGTGGACCCTTCCAAAGACGCACAGCTGATTTCCTATGGATGATGATATTTGGAGCATTATCGTTGTTGGTACATTACAATCATATCAAACAGTAGTAGTTTTATTTTATTATTTTTATTTATTTATTTTGTGTGGGGGTGGGGGGGGGGGGGGGGGGGTGGTTTGGGGCTACTTTTGCTAGTTCAATTACCAACTGTCACTAGAAATTTTGAGTTTGTGTTTTGGCCTTTACCTTCTTTAACTGGCCTTGTTCTGAGATTTCAATTCCTTGTTTTAACCTGGGGTCATTTGTGCATAGGTTTTATCTTTGATCCCCTACTTCTGGAGCCCCTTCTTGGGAATATCAATGGTTTTCATGCTTCTATATGTCTGGAGTAGAGAATTCCCAAATGCCAATATCAACATATATGGCCTTGTGACTCTAAAGGTATGCATATTACCAGCTCACTTAGTGTGGTTTATAATCATTCATTTGGTTGGCCTCACATAATCTTATTTGCAGGCATTTTATCTGCCATGGGCCATGCTATTTTTAGACGTGATCTTTGGTTCACCAATTATGCCAGATCTCCTTGGGATCATTGCTGGACATTTGTACTACTTCCTAACTGTGTTGCATCCACTTGCCACAGGAAAGATCCTTCTGAAAACGCCAAATTTGATGTATCCTTTTCCTTGGGGTCTTTTGGGATGGATTGGTCATTTTAAAAGTTCTTTTGCTGCCCTTGTGGTGGGGGAATATTCAACAGCAGCCCTTTGTTCTATTTTGGTGCTTGCTGAAAGAAGCAAAGTAAAAACATAAAAAGTTGTAGAAGTATAGGAACAGATAATGTGAGAGAGGCAACTACTTGGTTAGCATAAAGGGTCTGATCCATCATCTTCTCATTTTATGTGTTTTATTTCCACATTCCTCAGTGCAGATTTTCTTTAACTGCTACTGCTTAGATACAAACTGGTAGCAAGATGGAGAATCGGTGAGCCAACCACCACTCGCACAGAGCCTGACAGGAGTTCTAGTGGACCATTCAGAGGGAGATCTTACCGCCTTGGCAGATGAATATGTTGCTCCTCTGCTCAGAATAGAAAATTTCATGCATAATTGTTAACATCTATTCCATTTTATAGATGGGGTTATACCTATATAATGAGTTGACATTTTAAATGTGATTCAGATGCAGTAGCTGGAGAGAATTTGTTGTTACACGAATTACTGTTTTTTTTTAGCATGTTGGGATTTTGGGCTTCTTGGCAGTAAAAAGTAGAAGTAATGAGATGCTGAAGAAAGTGAAAACAGGTTGAAGAAAATTTGGATGGGTTAAATGCTAAATATATGCAAATATGCAATAGTACTTGTAGTTTGCTCCCAAAGAAAAGAGGAAGTTATTGGGTGTCACATGTACTCTTGACTTGTTTTAGAAGTCTATATCTAAATCACCAAAATGGCCTACAGACGATTTGAACATGTGAAAAATACTCATCAAGAGTTGTTTACCAAAGTAGAGAATTGGAGGATTTTTTGGAAAATAGAAAATTAGAAGAGTGGAAAAATGAAAAATAGAAAACTTGTTTAGTAAATTACTCTTTTGTCAAACACCTTGTGTTTAGATGGCATGTAGTGTCTCTCCCATATGGGAAGTCATGAGATTGAGTGTTTAGATGTCATGTAGTGACTCTCTCATATGGGAGGTCATGAGATCAAGCCTCAGTGAATAATTGAGCCAGTAATATTTAAAAAAAAAATCACTCTTTCAAATTTCTATTTTCCACTTATTATCATTATCATTATCATCTTTGTTGTAAAAATGTACAAAAATTATATGAGGAATTGTAATCAATGAGGTTCTGTGTATTTTGTTTTTAATCAAACTAAACTCTAACACTAAGGAAATAGTTGTAATTTATTTAGTAATATGTTTTTATTGTCTTTTGTTATATTTTACACATTTAGTATTAGGGCATTGAGTTTATTTTTATTTAAAGTTGAATTTATAAAATGAAATCAGAAAATTGAAGAAATGGAGAATGAAAAACTGGAAAACGAAAAACATAGTATTGAAGTAAACAACCCATCAATTTTTTAATTAGTCCAAATGATGAGAACGATAATTCTAAGAAGAATTTTATTATTAAATAATTCAATTTACAAAGTACAGGAATGAATAGATATATTTATAATAATACAAAGAGTGAATTATAAAAATTAAAAATACAAAGAGCAAAGAGTTTTAGTTTGATGATGAATGATAAAAGGTAGATTTACAATATGATAAAAGGTAGATTCACAATAGCACAGGGAGAGGGATGAAGAATTATAGTGTTACTAGAATACAGAGTCCTAATACGTCCCCTCAAGCTTATTGCTCTCCCGAGAGAGAACGTTGAGCTTGTCCCTTATATCATTGAACCTTATTGTTATTAGTGATTTGGTGAAGATGTTTGCTAGTTAGTCTTTTGTAGAGATGTAGTTTACTTGTAATTCCTTTGATGCTACTTTCTCACGAACAAAATGATAATCTATTTTAACGTGTTTGGTTCTATCATGAAACACATGATTTGCACACTAATAGGTAGCACCAAGGTTGTTACACCAAAGTTTTGGTGATTTTTGCATAGTAAAACCAAATTATTTAATTAAAGAGACTAACTATGTTATATCTGCTGTGACATTGGCTATAGCTTTGTATTCTGCTTCTGTTGAGGATCTAGCAATTGTCTTTTGTTTGCGGCAAGCCTAGGAAATTTGATCTTTACCAATAAAGACAACAAAATCACTAGTGGACTTGCAGTAATCAGGGCATCCCGCCCAATCAGATTATAAAAATGCATGAATATTGTATGAGCATGATTTCATAAAATGTAGCCCATAGTCTAGAGTATCTTTGACATACCGTAGAACACGCTTTAGGACAACCCAGTGGTCATTGGTTGGAGATTGCATAAATTGACAGAGTTTGTTTACGGCAAATGAGTGATTTTGACGTGTTATGGTTAGATATTGAAGTGCTCCAATTAAGCTAGGGTATTGTGTGGGATTGTCACATGGTTGAGACGAGTATGTTGCATTTAGTTTGTTGTTGACTATAATTGGAGTGGAGATTGGTTTGCAGTGTTCCATTCAAGATCTTTTGAATATTTCAAGCATGTACCTTCATTGTGATAAGATCATCACCCCTTGTTGTGAACTATCTCGATTCCTAGGAAGAAGCTTGGAGGTCTCATACCTTGAATCTTGAAGTTTTAGCTAGTTTGCCTGTTATGGAAGTCAAGAGACTTTTGTTGCTCCTCATTATTAGTATGTCATCAACATAGACAAGTAAATAAATTTAACCATTAGCAGTAGAATATATAAACAATGATACATCAATTTTTGAAGCATTGTGTTAGAGAAAATAGGTTTTAGTTGAGAGAATAACTCTCAATCCTTAGTTTTAAATTTGAATTGTGTGGTTCTACGTTCCTTAAAATGTATAAATAGGTTCATTTCCATTGTACTTTCATAAGAGTAAATACAAATATATACATTACCTATGAACAGTGGTATTTGTCTAACATGGTATCAGAGCACCGATGATGGTGAAGAGGTGGGTAGTGTTCAGAAGAGGACGACGATGCTTCGCCGAGGTTTCGCGTCGCCACCAAAACCGCCAAGCGACGCCACCAGAGCCTCCACGTATCGCTACGTACCACCGCCACAGTCTGCTCGCCAACTCACGCGCTAGTTTGTGAGTGAGTTTCTGGTGACCTTTTGCGACGACGACCGCACCGGGAGTCTCACCATGAAGAGAAGGTTCGACCTAGGTGAAGAGTGAGAAGTTTTGTTGGGGTGTAATCCAGGTCTGTGTCGGCTGTGTCTGCGTACGCGATACGTGAGAAAAGATGTTTTTCTAGGTCTGTCTCTTTTCTTATTTATTATGGTGGAAGCAAGGAATATTACATGTAATTTTGTATCGACCCCATCGAAGTTAGTTGATGTGGTGCTTGCACCATATGTGTCTAATTTTGGAGAGTGAAAGTTTTTGATTGAAATTAATTTAGGGGGTATGGGTAAAGATGAACACCTAAATAGAACATGTCCAACCGAAAAAGCTAGGGCTCAAGAGTGGGGAAGGGATGATAAAGCTTTATTGTCCCGCATAATAAATTGAATTGATAGGAAAATAATTCTATCTATGCAACACCGTAAACCCATGAAAGAGGTTTGGGACTTGGTGAATAAGTGGTTTAGTGGAACAAAAACCTGAGAAATTGTATCAATTGTCTTAAGATGTTCATTGTCCATCCCAAAATGGATGGGACATTCGGGATTATTTCTATGGTTTCAAAAGTGTGAGTGAATCATTATGTGCTGCTATGCCGATCACATATGACCTGGATAAAATGAAAAAAGCAATGTGATCAGTTGCATGTGTTTAGTTGGATTTTGGGGTCGGATGAAGAGTATGATGTCCTGAAGTCTAAGTTGCTTGGGAATAAAGAATTAGATTCAATAGACCAAGTTTTCACTGTGGTCCAGAATGCGTCAGGTACATGTAGTGGAGTTTCGGCGAGACATGTTTTAATGACACAAGGAGATCATGGAAGTGAAGGTTCCAGTAATCGCAAGGGTTAGTTCTTAGGAAGTGGTGACTTTGGTACAGGGCGTGGAGGAGGTCAGATGGTTTGCTATAATTGTGGAGAACCCAGTCATCTACGCAACCAATGTCTAAAACCACTCCGACCACAGAGGTTTGCTAACTCTGTCTCTAAACCAGAAGGTAATGTAGTTGTGTTGACATATGAAGAGTTAGCTGACTTTACCATTCGGTTTTGAAACACTTCAAAAGGTAAATCCTTTCACCTCTCGGTATTTGCAACCTTTCGGTCTTGGTATCTTCTACTTTTCAGTCTTCAGTCTTCTAGTCTTTAGCTCGGATCACTCATGAGTTAACCACTCGGGTTACTCTTTGAGTCTAGTGTTGAGACTGTCATCTCGAGTTAACATTCGGATGGGTAGTGTAATTTTGCATTTCCTCATTTTTAATCAAATTAACTGGATTATCCAACTGATGAAATGGACTGACCGATTCAACGATGAAGTCAGTCAGTAAGGCAGATCATTGAGATGTTTATAGAAAGAGATAACGACACAAAGCAACACACAAGATGTTTACCCAGTTCGATACAGTGTGTATCTACGTCTGGGGGACGATCACATAAGTGTCCAATCCACTAAATCATAATCCAATGTACAAAGGTAGAGAAACAACAATCTCACCCGAGTGTCCCACACAAGGTACGTACCCAGTCTACATAGGTTTAGTGGATGGTTGAAGATGGAGAGCCATGCATACAGAAGTCCAATGAAATCCCTTCACTTGGAGAGCCAACTCTGATGCAGTCCACTTCAATAACGTTCTTCTCGGTTGTTCCACAACAGTGTGATCGTAGCGTCCTTTCGTTTAAGCAACAATAATTCTTCTCAAGTTCTTCATCATAATCACCATGAACATGTTGTATTGAGAAGAGGCATGATAATCAAAGATCTGATCTCATAAAACTGTTTTGGAGTGTTTCTTCCTTCTTGAAAGCGTAACCCTAATTCTTGTCGAATAAGAGTACTTATAGTTCCATAGTAAGAACACTCTCCATAGATATCTTTGATTGTAGATGGTAGGACAATATTTGAAGAATGTAATCTTAGAGATTCGGTCCATACCTTTCCAAGACAGATACGCTGATCTTCTTTCCAATTCTGTCTTCTTTAAACCGCGTACAGCCTTTAAGGAAACAGCTTCTTAAAACAGATCTTCAGTGTCAGTCCCTCTGTGTTGTATCTGATTGATCAGTCCTCTGTAGAACAAAACCGACACTAAGCTAATCATATCTTAGTTTGCCATAATAATATTGCCAATTATAAGTTGGGGTTTTTTGAGCAATTAAAACACTAACAAACTCCCCCTTTGGCAAAACAACTTGACTACGTATAAAGACATAAACTGAAAGAACTAAGATAGGCTAGCATAAAAACCAAACCAAATATCTGATTACAAAGCATAGCGGAAATAAAACACAGCATACAAGTCATGCTGGATCAAAACATCAGTCATAAACATTCTTCAAACAAAATAGGTGGTGCCATCACAAGCAACGCCCAGCCAGGGCCAGAAGGTACACAAAATCACATAAAACTCCCCCTGAGTTCATACTCCCCCTTTTTGCCAATGATAGCCAAATCATGGTCAAGCATTGGAGGGAGTCTCACTGTCAGACTTCGCAGGTTCAACAGCAGCAGATTCAGATAGGCTTAAACGAAGAATAACGGTGGCCAAATCAGTACGAGCCCCTGTCAGCTGTTTTGCAATTATGCCGTGAACTG